TATATCGATTGGTACAGAACTGAATATAATGAATGTAATCATGATTTGTTGTGAGCTATAATTGTGAATGATTTGTTGATTATATATACAGGATGTCCCAGAATTAGACCGACAAACTTCATGTGGTTATAAAAAACACCAAAACAAGCCAATTTTGTCAATAAATCCGTGTCCGCAAATGAGCCGTTTTGGCACGTTTTTGGCACAGAAATCAAAAATAACAAAGGCAAAAATCTTTAAAAATAATTATGTTTAAAAATTTTGTTAAGTGGTTAAATAGAGGTGTTTTTGTTATGAAACTTTTGTATCAAACATTTTTTGATATCTCGAATAATTTTCGAGGAAAAGTAAAAAGCCGCTCTGCATATGAGGGGTGATTTAACTCCTTAGAATCGTTTTTGGGCCCTAACTGGAAATTTCTAAATTCATCTATTTATCACCCCCTCCCCCTCCTCCTACATGTGTGTAAAGTCTCATCAAAATCAGAATTTTCGGGTTTGCGAAGTTCCCTTGTTAGTCTTTGATTCTCTAGTACCAAAACGGCTCATTTGCGGCGCATTTATTGGCAAAATTGGCTTGTTTTGCTGTCCTTTATAACCACCTGAAGTTTGTCGGTTTAATATAAATATATATATACTCTATCCAAAAAGAGAATGACCTCGGTTCGCGCATAAGCGGGCAAAGTGGAGAGAACATGGCGAGATACTCAATACCGTATACGTAGATACGGCTCCCTCGGGCCCGGGACTATTATCTCATGTCAGTTTAAAAAATTAAACGGATAAAATAATCTCAATTTTAATTTTTAACCGCACCTGTATTCTTATATTCCGACAATATTTTTTTTATGCTCGTAATACCAAAACCCGTCTGTTCTGTCAATTGAGTAACAGCATCTTTATTTGAAATTTCTTGATTGTCTTTTTTCAATTTTTTATGCGAATTAATAATAATAAGCTTCTGATTGCTGTGGATCAACTGAAAATATAAATGAAAAATTAACCTTATAAACCTTATAACCAATATAGCCTTATTCAAACAATTTATTAAATTTCAACATATTTTTCTCGTAGTGAACTCATAAAAGGACACTTTAAACTTTAAAACTACAATCTCCGATATACTATATAATAATAATTAATTTATAATTTTTTCATCATTGTTTACCTGGCCTTGTTTATTTTTCTTCACAGGAGATGACATTAATGGCACTTCAATATTCAATTCTTCCATCGCACTTTGTAAATACTTTTTATGCGATAAATGCGGATCGGATCGTATACGATAAGCTGTATATGTAACTTTTATTCGCATACGATTTTTATCAAAGCAGACCTTTGTATGTGTGCGTGTGTGTGTGTGTGTGATGGAGAGATATAATTCTATCAAGAGTCTCGCGAACCCAAAAATTCTGATTTTGATGCAACTTTACAGACATGTAGGGGGGGTAAATAGATGAATTTAGAAATTTTTAGTTGCGGCATAAAAACGATTTTAAAGGGTGAAATCGTTCATTCCTCATATGTAGAGCGGCTTTTTGCTTTTCTCGATATATCTCGAAACTTATTCGAGATATCAAAAAATATTTTATACAAAAGTTTTATGGTAAAAACATCTTTATTTAACCACATTAACAAAATTTTGAAAAAAAAACAATTTTTTAAAAGATTTTTGCCCTTGTTAATCTTTGATTCTCTACGTGCCAAAACGACTCGTTTGCGGACACGGGTTTATTGGCAAAATTGGCTTGTTTTGCTGTCCTTTATAACCACCTGAAGTTTGTCGGTTTAATATAAATATATATATACTCTATACAAAAAGAGAATGACCTCGGTTCGCGCATAAGCGGGCAAAGTGGGGAGAACATGGCGAGATACTCAATACCGTATACGTAGATACGGCTCCCTCGGGCCCGGGACTATTATCTCATGTCAGTTTAAAAAATTAAACGGATAAAATAATCTCAATTTTAATTTTTAACCGCACCTGTATTCTTATATTCCGACAATATTTTTTTTATGCTCGTAATACCAAAATCCGTCTGTTCTGTCAATTGAGTAACAGCATCTTTATTTGAAATTTCTTGATTGTCTTTTTTCAATCTTTTGGTGCGTGAGCGCTCCGTCGCTACGGCGACGCACACTAACAGACGGGCGGCTCACTGACGTGCGTCCGACTAATTGTAAAAGTCGGCGCTGATTGACCAGACTTTATTCAATAATAACTCCTTTATTAAGCGTTATAGAAAAAAATGGTACAGGACTTTTCTGTTCAGTTTACTGTGCTCTACCTGTTCACGAGCGTTGTCAAGGGTGCTTTGGGACACCCTGTATAAAGTTAAATATCTTTGCAATGTCTTCCTTTTGACATTTTTATTATTTGAATGTAGAATATATATTGTCACATTAGAAATATCAATTTCAAATAATAAAAATGTCAAAAGAAAAACATTGCAAAGATATTTAACTTTACAAATATGTTTTAATTAAAAAGTTCCGATTTCTTATAATATCTTTTAATTAACATCTCAATATTTCTCAAGCGTCTGTTCAATTTTTCGCGATTATGTGCTCTTAAATCTCCTTTTTATTAATTTTTTAGTTTTCCGTAACTATAATATGTGCTATCTTTTTAAATTAAATATTTTGTTAATATTGTTTGACAAATAAGATAAAGGAAATGAGAAATTATTTGTATATTCAGGTACTACGTTGACACAAGAATTGGTTTGGCTGCTATCCAATAATTTGGACTTTGTGACGGCGGGAAAAAAATTACTTGCCGAGAGATTTCCCTTTCTCGAGTAAGTGGTAACAAAAATATGGTTTTGTATAGCATAAATATAAATGATTAATAAATACACTCGCGTATATTTATCTCGCGTAAACACGTATCATAAATATCTCATCATTTTTAATTTGTTTTTAATTCGTTTATTTCGTCCATTTTTGATCATCGCAACGAGAAGGATGAGTTCTATTAGATTGTTTAGCGTTCGTATTATTGCATGTAATATGACGAATGAAGTAAATTACGCCATGTCACGTTACATTATATGACAGCAATGTATCAATAATTATATCGGGAAATAGAATTAGAAAATGCTATAATTCAAAGTGATATGCATGCACTTATTTGTATTATTATGTAATATCCCAAGCAGAACAAAAAATCAAAATGAGAAAAATCTGAAAAAAATCATATGTATATTATGTGATTTGTGCACTGGAATAAAAATTGTTTTAAATTTTTTCCAGGATTTTCCGAAAGCGATCAGGAAAGTAGCAAAATTCTTGGGCAAAACATACACCGACGAAGAGATAGATAAAGTGACAAATTATTTGAAAATTAAAAACTTTCGCAACAATTCAATGGTGAACTATTCTGAGTTGAGAGCCTGTGGCATTATAGAAGAGGGAAATTTTGTCAGAAAGGGTGGCATTGGTGGATGGAAGGACATGTTTACTCCGGAACTTGACGTTAGGGCAGATAAATGGATCGAAGAGAATCTCAGAGACACTGATCTGCGTTTCCCATTTTTCAATAATAATATAGACAACGATTGAGGAATTGAACATTTGATAAATCGGTGAGATGTTGATCCCGAGTAAAGTTTGATTGTTTAATAAATGCATATATTTATTTTTTTTTAATGTTTTGTCTAAGTACTACTTTGATAAAAAAAACTCTAATTAACTTATTTTATCATGAAAGTTACTTTTTATTACTTTTTTACACACATATATACTCGCAAACTCGACATATTTTATTTTTACTTTGTTTCTATTCATTTACAAATAAAAGTTTATTATAAAAGAACACGTATATATGGATAATACACATCGGACACGTTTTTTATTATTATATAAAATATTTATTCTTCAAAAGTCGCGCATACATATGATTTAATAATTGAAAACAGATTATTTGATACACTTGCATATGTCATTCAATTTACAAGTGAGAACCATATATTATTGTAAAAATACATAATGATACAATATTCTGAATCTTGTGTCTAAAGGAGGATTTCAGAAATTCTTCAGATAGTCAAAAAACTATTCTTATTTAAAAAGAGAAAAAAACTTGACAAGTTTATAATTTGCAAAATTTACTTTAGATATGGATTTCAAAATAGATCTCATGATATTACACATTCTCCTTACCAATTTTTTTCGCCAATATAGAGGAGAGCTTCATTAATTTTTGTATACTTACATTGCGAGCAGTCAAATGAAGTGAAAGATCAGTATGAATGCATACACAATCATCCAGTGAACTATTATGACATGGAAAGGGTGCAATATTAATGTTTGTGAAAGCACGTGTGGACGGATACCAAAATTAATAGGGCCAAATTTAAGAGAACTTTACTGTATACTATATATAAAAGAAATTCAACAAGTCGAGTCAAGATTGATCGGTTCCATTAGATAGACATTTAGAATAATATAATGTGATATTAAATAATATGTGAAACATATATATTTCTAGTTGTCTGTTTATGACAACCCATAGAGCTTCAAAGTTCTGTCCATGCTAGTGGATGCAATATATTGCGCGTGTTTTCCGAAACGAACACCAGTAGCCGCTGCAGTGTGATCGTTCAGAACTTTCAATTCCTGCCACTGCTTACAGAGATATATCCTAAAAATAACCATGTATATTTGTAATATGCGAGCTAATTCAAATTAATTCGTATTATTAAATGGTAATATAACATTGCATATTTAAGTTATTATTAAAATATTCGTACTACACTTGTTATTAACACATAGTAAGATTTTCTTCAAAGAGATAAGACACATTCTGTATTTTATTAGTTAGTATATATATGTAATTAATTCTCTCAATCATTATTATTATCATTGTAGAGAGGGAGAGAGAGAGGGAGGGGGGAGGGAGGAAGGAGGGAGAGAGAGAGAGAGAGAGAATAATAATTAACATGGAGCGAGAGAAAGAGAGACCAACAACCCCCGGGAGACAAACGACAAACGGTACCGGGGCGGCGCTCGCCCCGAC